CGGGCCGCGGATCATTTTGTGATGCCGGTACCGGGCCGTGGCACAAAAAAGGTTGGGGGCCACTGGCTTAGATAACAGGAAAAAGGGGAGGCAAAAATTCCCTCAGCGCCCAGGTCTAGAGAGCTGAACCTACCTGCGGTCGTCCTCAGCCATCATGAGAGGCATCAGGGCTATCCTGGCTTCCATGTCCTCAAAGGCCAGGTGTCTAGAAAAGGTGGGAAAAGAGCAGGGAGGTGACAACAAAAGGAAAGGTCAAAGCTGGTTCCCAGATCTTGTAAAACACAAGTGGTTTCCCAACCTCAGCGACTTTAGGATATAATGGACCAGGGGTGGGATTCAGCTGGTTCGGCTAAACCGGGGGTTCATCTTCCATCTGGTTTGGCGAACCGGTAGTTCCTACAATTGCCTGGCCCCTCCCCTCTCAGGAGTCCCCACCTGGCCCATTTTTGATCGCAGGTTACTGCGGCGCCCAGGCGGAAGCTTCGGGAGGGTGAAAAACAGGCCTCCTGGAGGCTCGAGAAAAGCCTCCGCAGCCCAAGAAGGGCAAGAATGGGCTTCCCGGAGAGCCTCTGGAGCCCGAGGAGGGCAAAAATGGGCTTCCTGGAGAGCCTTTGGAGCCCGAGGAGGGCAAAAATGGGCTTCCTGGAGAGCTTTTGGAGCCCGAGGAGGGCAAAAACAGGCCTCCTGCGGTCCGTTTTCGCTCCCAGGGTGGTGCAGGCTATGCCCACCCTGGCCACGCCCACCCAGCAACAGGGCAGAGAACCGGTTGTTAAATGATTTGAAGCCCACCCCCGATATGGATTCCAGTTCTTAGCATGGCGGCTGAAGAATTCTTCTAATGGAAAATCTACCCATGGTAGCTAGGGGACTCTGGGAATTGAAATTCACACATATTAAAGTTACCGGGGTTGGAAAAACCAGGAGACCTCATTCACCCTTCAGGAAAGAGGAAATAAAATGTGTGGACACCATCCAGGTCCTCCGAGACCTTGGGATTTCTTGTCTCCCCTTCTGGAGAATCTGAGGCGACTACAGCAGAGGCCTCCACCTGATCTCGGCCAAAATGGAGGGATGTCAACGCACAAAATCCCTCCCAGGGTAGTTTAAGGCAGGGGTCTCGAACCTTGGTCCCTTTAAGCCTGGCGGATTTCAACTCCCAGAATTCCCCAGCCAGCAAAGCTGGCTGGGGAATTCTGGGAATTGAAGTCCGCCAGGCTTAAAGGGACCATAGTTGGAGACCCCTGGTTTAAGGCACCAGGATGGGAAACAACATGCAGTGCTAAAAGGATAATTGTTTTCCCCTCAGAAAGTTTCAGATTCAAATCCTGGCATTTCTAGGTTGAAATGAGAAAAAAAACAACCTGTCTGAGGAGCATAGAAAATACTGAGCTGTAAAAACATCCCAAGTCTATACTTGCTTTCTTCCAATACAACTGCAAATTTATCCAGAACACCCAGGAAGAAGGAACATTCCTTATCACAGTTATAAAGCTGGAACGTAAGCAAGTTCATCCTTCCAAGTTCTTTCAATGTGCCCTGTGGATGCTATGTCTATCTGCCCTGGAATACTTAACTTCTCCACATAACTGTTTTCATCAATATCTCAAAATTCTCCATATAAAACTTGGATCTGTTGATTAAATGTAGATCACTCTGATTTTCTGCCGAAAACCCTCCCTGCCTTTGTGAAATTACAGGCTGCTGTCAAACAACAAACAATGCCAAAGTTTTCTTAATCATGGATGATTAATGAATAAATCGCAATTAGCGGAACCCAGACAAATGTACAGGGAATCCACGACTTACAATCACAATCGAGCCCAAAATTTATGTTGTTAAGTGAGATATTTGTTAAATGACTTCTGCCCCATTTTACGACCTTTCTTGCTGCAGCTGTTTAGTGAATCACTGCAGGTGATAAGTTAGTAACCTGGCTGTTAAGTGAATCTGGTTTCCCAATTGACTTTGCTTGTCAGGAGGTTGCAAAAGATGATAACATACCTTGGGACGCTGCAACTGTCGTAAGTATGAATCAGTTGCCAAACATCCAAATTTGAATGAAGTGATGCTGAAAAGATCATAACAGTGAAAAATGGTCACAAGTCACTTTTTCCCCCCAGTGCCGTTGTAACTTTGAACGGTCACTAAATGAACTGTTGTAAGTGGAGGACTACTTCTACCGAGCAAAGGCAGCCTGTGACTGTCATGCATATTTTTCGGGCCAATTAAATGAAGGGAATGATTGCAAACTTACCTTCTCTCCCAGTTCCACCTGAAAATAATGTAGGTTCCAAAAACAAAAGCTCCAAGTCCAATGGCAAGAAGGCCATAACCTAGAAATAACAAAATGAGATCCGTGTGTTTATTAGCAAATACAAATAACTGTTTGTAACAGTAAAACAAGTAGTAAAAAGATCTCCAAGGGTTGGCTAAGCTTCCAAAGGCCACGAGGACATCTCGATTTTTTTCTTTAGGCATGAACTTCAGGGAGATTCCTTGCTTGCTGATTCCACGACCTGATTGCAGTTTTCCATCATAACTATTTTACAGGTCGTCTTCGACTTACAAACACAATTCAGCCCCCTATTTCTGATAAGTGAGACCGTTGTTGTGAGTTTTGCTCAATTTTTTGTGACCACGCTTGCCACAACTGTTTAAGTGAATCACTGCACTTGTTAAGTTAGTGACACAGCTGTTAAGTGAATCAAGCTTCCCTGTTGACTTTGCTTATCAGAAGTTCGCAAAAACATGACAGTGCAACCGTCATAAATATGAGCTACAGTAGTAGTCCGAATTTTGATCATGTGACCTGCAATGGAATGCTGCAATGGTTGTAAGTATGAAAAACGGGTCATAAGGCCCTTTTTTCAATGCCATTGTAACTTTGAACGGTCACTAAATGAATGGTTCTAAGTGAAGGACTGCCTGTCTTTATTTTATTTTATTTTAGCCAGGCTTTATTTTTATGGGCAATTAATATACGTAATATTCCTTCCTCCTATTACTTTCCCCACAACAGCTCTTTGATGTGAACTGGGCTGAGAGTGAGTGACTGGCCCAAAGTCACTGAGGCAGCTTTCATGCCTAAAGTAGGACCAGAACTCAACTGTGTCCAGGTTTATAGCCTGGTGTTTTGGCCACTAGACCAGTGGTGCTTAACCTTTTTTGGCACCAAGTACCGAAATGAGTGTGCACGCGTGCCGAAAAGGTACCAAGTGCCGAAACACATGTGTGCCCGAAACCAGAAGAGCAGCTCCCTGGTGCGTGCAATGCGTGCCGGCCACCTGGTCTTCCACTTTCCAACATGCATGTGCATGTGAAGACCAGCTGGCCAGCATGCACATGCGTGTTGGGGAGCTGCTCTTCCAGTTTCCGGTGCTCCCATGCGAGCAAAGGCCAGCTGGCTGGTGCGCAAGCGTGTGCTGGAACTTTGAAGAGCAACAAGTGATGGCTGGTGTGCCCGGAGAGATGGCTCTGCATGCCACTTCCAGCATGCGTGCCATAAGTTCGCCATCATGGCACCAGACCAAACTGGCTCATATGTTTTCCCATCTTCTTGACCGTATTATTATCAGTCATGCCTGTGGAACAAAAGCGTATATTCCATATGAACAGATCTAACCACCAAATGGCCTTTCCTTTTCCCAGCCAGCACATTTCCAAATATAACTGCAGTCTACCTCAGAAAACAGGTATCTCAGACGATGAGGATACATTCAACAAGCCTGCTATATGGAGCTGTTTCGGGGAAAATGTCTGGAGATATTTTGAGAATATTTTTCCCTTCAAAAGGTTAGATCTTTCCTCTCAGTTATATTAAGGCTATCATTCCTGCTGGCCTTCAGAAGGTAAGTTTGGGGCATTAGCAGGAGGCACTACATCCTGATCCTGGAAGACAATCCCAACTAACACATTCAGCTGCTTTGCAAGGTTGATTTTGAAATGTCATAGACAGGTACTCCACAATTTATGACCACAATTCAGACCAAAGTTTCTGTTGCTAAGTGAGGCGGTTGTTAAATGAGCTTTGCCTTGCCCATTTTATGACCTTTCTTGCTCACAGTTGATAAGTGGATCACTGCAGTTAAGTTAGCAGCCCGGTTGGTTAAGTGAACCTGGCTTCCTCATTAACCTAGCTTGTCAGAAGGTCGCAAAAAGTGGGACACATCATAAATACAAGCCAGTTGCCAAGTATCTTAATTTTGATCCCATGACCGTGGGGATGCTGCAATGATCGTAAGTGTGAAAAACGGTCATAGGCCCCTTTTTTTCAGCACCATTGTAATTTCGAACTCCCACGAAATGAACTGTTGTAAGTCGAGGACTGCCTATATAGGAACCCAGCATGCAGAATCTGCTGAATGGGAAGGATAATAAGAGACCCTCTTCAGAAGCTGCTCAAATGGGGGATCTATGAGTGAAGTCGGTTGAAAGGCTGCGCCCCCTCCCCATTTCCTTTGGGCTCCTATGGAGAACCCCCAACGCTCACATCCAGATGCTCAGATGTCTTGCAGAACACACCCGACCCAACCATGGTTTGTTGAATAAATCACGATTGGTTGGGTTGGCAGCAGCAGGCCTTAAGCTGCAAGAAAGACAAAGGCTCATCTTACAGGTTGAGCACGTCGTGTGAAGGGTTGGAAAAGCACGGACCCCGCATATCATCACAGCCCATGGTGGCTTATTCAAGGCAGCCATCCTTAGCTTAGGCGAGGGACCCGAGAGCCGGCCACCTCCTGAAGACTCAAAGCACCCCATCTCTCCATCCTCACCCGGGATCCCCCGATAGGGCAATCGCCTCTTATAGTCGATTGGTCCATAACCGCCCGACGGCGGCATGTCCTGCTTCACCTTCCAGGCTCCCGCCGCCATCTTGGAAGCGGGCGGCTTCTCTCCCGACCCAACGCTTCTTACCCCGATCTGTCACTTGTGGATGACGTAACGCGAGCGCCGCAACGAAAGCCGAGCTCGGCCGAAGACTGGCGGTCACGTGACATGGATTCCGGGGAGGAGGGAGGGGAACTCGGAAGACGAGGCTGCTCCTGCGGATCGCGCGCAGGGGGGATTTTTTTTTTCGTCCCTCGGTCCCGGAGCGCGCTTGGAAACCCGTTCCTCTTTCTAGCGCCCATCTCCTTGCAGGAAACGTTTATGACAGGGGTCCCCAAACTTGGCAACTTTAAGACTTCAGCATAGCTGGCTGGAGAATTCTGGGAGTTGAAGTCCACAAGTCTTAAAGTTGCCAAGTTTGGAGACTTCTGGTTTATGATATGCAGAATGCTAGCATTGAAGGGGTTTTGCAAGGCAGCAATCCGAGGACAGAAGGATGCCCAACCTTTTTTTTTTTTTAAAGGAAAATTAAGGATGAACTCTTAACAGATTAAGAGTTGGAAGGGCCCTTGTAGATCATCTTCTAGGGAGATCCTACACCATTTCTGACAGATGGCAGTGATGAAGCTCCCACAACTTCTGAAGACAACATCTGTTCCATTGGTTGATTGCTCTGTCAGAAAGTTTCTCTTTATTTCCAGGTTGAATCTCTCCTTGTTCAGTTTCCATCCACTATTCCTTGTCTGGCCTACAGATGCCTTGGAAAATAGCTTGAACCCTTCCTCTCTGTAGCAGCCCCTCAAATATTGGAAGACCGCTATCATGTCTCCCCTGGTCCTTCTCTTCACTAGACTAGCCAGGCCCAGTTCCTGTAACCGTTCTTCATGTTTTAGTCTCCAGTCCCCTAATATTTAATTAGCACAGGTAGTCCTCGACTTTAAAAAGTTTCTTTAGTGACCATTTGAAGTTACAACAGCATTGAGAAGTGACTTAATGACCATTTTTCACACTTCTGTTACAGCATCCCCATGGTCACATGATTTACATTTGGATGCTTGACAACTGACTCAGGTTTATGATTATATTGTCCAGGAGTCATTTGATCCCCTTTTGCGACTTTCTGACAATGTCAAATGGGGAAACCAGATTCACTTAACCTTGTTGATAATTTAACAATTGCAACTTAAGGTCTTGAAGAAATCGTGAGGAGGAACAGGATATATGGCTTCAAATTGATTTCAAATTCCTGGAAAGCTGTCACAAAAGCAGCCACAGGAAGCCAGGAGTTTGGGACGCATCCTGTTACTATTGAACAAGTTTTGTTCTACTTATGTTGTTTATAATAGATATAATAGATGGATCCACACGTTACATTGAAGTCTGAATCACAGTTAACAAACTATGTGGCTTAATTCAGAAAACACACAAAGCCAAACAAGACTCATTTCGTCTTTGCGTGAATTTGCCTGTATTATGCAGTGAACAACTGGCATGGTCGAATACTTACTTCAAAAGATTAATAATAGAACACAGGATATTTACCTCCTTGCACCCAATACATGATATTCATGCTTTATTTTGCCTTCAGGAGTTAAAACATTCCTTGATTTTCACAACTTGAATGCACTCACAACCTCTGCAGGCAAGTTGCTCCACTGATTAATTGTTCTGTCAGGAAATTTCTCCTTAGTTCTAAGTTGCTTCTCTCCTTGATTAGTTTCCATCCGTTGCTTCTGCCTTCAGGAGCTTTGGAGAATAGCTTGACTCCCTCTTCTTTGTGGCAGCCCCTGAGATATTGAAACACTGCTATCATGTCTCCCCTAGTGCTTCTTTTCATTAAACTAGGCATACCCAATTCCAGCAACCGTTCTTCGTATGTTCCAGTCCCCTAATCATCTTTTTTGCTCTTCTCTGCACTCTTTCTAGAGTCTCAACATTTTTACATTGTGGCATTTGTAAAATTCGATATTAGACAACAATCACTACTAAGAACATATTAGTGTCCAAAATTCAGGATCTGACTTGGAAAGTAACAGGCATGTTTTTCCTGATCCTGATTTCCAATCTAGGGATATACTACCTCTGTCCATGGAGGTTCAGCTTAGCTATGATGGCTAGCTAGCAACTCTCACAGATTTTCCTGCCCCATTAATCTGTTGTCAGAATAAATGGAACTTTAGGCAGTCATCTAACTTATGTCCTGTATAACAAGTTATTTTTCTATATTGATATTATTGTGCGAATGCCAAGATTGAGAAGCCCATAATCAAATGCCATTAGCAAACGGGAGAGGGGGGAGAGGAAACAAAAATTTATCTGGCTAAATCATGATTCAGTACAAGTAGTCCTTGACTTAACAACCATTTGTTTAGTAATCAAAGTTATGATGGCATGGAAAAAATGACTTACAACCGTTTTTCACGCTTACGACTGCTACAGCTTCCCCATGTGGTCAAAAATTTGGGTGCTTGGCATCTGACATGTACTTTTGACAGTTGTACTGTCCCAGGGTCATGCGATCACCATCTTCTCAGCCAGCTTCTGACAGGCAATGTCCATGGGGGAAGCCAGATTTGTTTACGTGTAGTGATTTGCTTAACAACTTTGTCAAAAAAGATTGTAAAATGGGACAAAACTCACGTAACAACTGTCTTGCCTAGCAGTGGAAAATTTGGGCTCAATTATGGTTGTAAGTCAAGGACTACCCGTGCACAACACCAAACTTGACCAAGAATGTAGAATTCTGCAGCAAAAATTCTTTCCTGTTCTCTCCCAAAAGTAACTCTAAAGCAGGTGTTCTCAACCTTTTATTCATTTATTTGTAAAATAAATGAAAAGTGTAAAATACCACCCATTTTGCTACACAGTAACTTTGGAGGAATCTTTGAAATCATTTCCCAGATCTCAGGGGAAAAATATGAAAATCTCACAGCACGCTTCACTTCCTTCCTGTAGAATTCACGTTTTATGTTTACAACAGGAGCAAAGTGTCAGGCTACCAGCTCACTCAATTCAGTGTGTTAAGAACAGCTGTCACTGCAAACGCTAGCATTGCATTGCAGGGCACATGAAGTTTTTCAATTGCAAGCTAAGCGTATGTATTTATTTAAAAGATTTAAATGGCTGCCCCCACCTTAGGAATACATCTCTTGAGTGGCTCACAATAAAAGCCGTGAAATAAAAATTATCCTGGATAACAGAAGTACGCAGGCTTTTAATCCGTTTAGTGCAGTTGTTGTGCTTCAGAGATTTTGATCTTGGATGCAATTATAGTGTTTTTATTATGACTTTTCAGAAACTTCTATTCTCTGCTTTCCACCCAAGTCCATTTCTAGACAGGTGTGCACTTGTGTCATTAGCAAAACTACATTAATGTTTCTCTTCTAAGTAAGTAAATGAATTGCAGGTGAAGCGGAATCAGAAGAAATAATGACAGTTTTGTCACCACCTTTGTTAATACATAAGAGAGAATATCAGAAAGCTTTCTGTATCGTATTCAGCTGTATTTCAAATTTCCTCAATATTCAATGAATATCAAAACATTTTTCTTAGGCATCATCACAGGAGAATATTGCTTGTTTTCTAGAACAGCCTAGCCATCTTTTGATGCCTATTTGAGCAATATTGAAGTTATAATCCCCCAAATGATGACGTATCAAAGTCTGGTAATTCAACCCGAGGCTTAAAAGATCCAACACAGGAATTGCTTCAAGTTAAAAGATTTATTTTTCTGGACCTCCAAAATTTCCTGGACAATTCCAACCCGATCAAAAAGAGATTTCTGACATGGCTGGGGGTTTTCATCTTTAAAAAAAAAGAAAGAAAAAAGAAATGGCTTTTGGAAACACAGGTTCGCAACTGTTGGTCAAACTGCTCCAGCTTAAAAACTTCACATGGACAAACCTATCCTTCCTGATTTGTAAATTAATCCAGCTCCTACGCAAAAAGCAAGGCTAGAATTTTAGAAATGCAAATCTTCTGATTCGCATCCGATCCAAGGCAGACCAATGATGTAAATGTGAAAAACGCCAGAGAAATTGAAGAGTTACGTCTACACTACAGCTTCATACCAGTTTTAAGTCTACTTGACCCATCAGAGAAATCTTGGGGTTAATCTGGAAATGACACAAGTTCTTTAGGAGGCTGGAACTCCAATTGTTTATACTGGTGCAAAAAGTCTATATGGAACTGAAGTGCAAGAGAAAAAGAAAACAAACGGTATTAAGGTATCTTAACTATGGGTAGGAAATCAACAAGAATGCTTTTAAAGCTCAAACAGAGGTGAGGATGGAGAGTAAAGCAATAGTTTTGATGTACAAACAAAAGTGGACCCCACCACAAACAATGAATTCAGAAGAACTGTGTACAGAAAAATTAAAACCCTATACGTTTGCTATCCATCAGAACTTTAAAACATTATATCTAAATATTCTCAACTTTACAGAAAAGGAAAAAGGGGGAATTAGGAGGAACTTTTTATTAAAATGCAAGAGATGTCATTGGAACAGGAGCCCTTCCTGATACAGTAA